TGATAAACCGCCTATTGAGGGCCTATTGAGTATAATCTTTCAAGTCAGTAAAGGATTGAAAGTCTGTGTTAAACGAGGATGAAGAGTGTGTCGAGTTTAACTGAAAATAGCAGCTATAGCTATGGCCTTAAAAACGCGCACTGCCAGTCTTTGAGGGTTAGCTGCCCAGACAATTCTATTACGCTGATAATTTAAAAAAGACGCCAAAGAAGTTATCCCCCTTAGAGTACAGTCAGAGTCAGATGTCAACATAAACGTTTGCGCGAGATTCAGAACAATATAGAAATTACATAATGCGGGAAACACTTGCCAGCTAGAAGTTCTGCAATTCAATGGTGTGTGGACCCATTGCCAAGTACTCGAATGGAGCTTTTCTGAAAAACCCTACGCAACGCGTTGCATTGTGGAGAAGCAAATCGTTAAAACAACGTTTGACAACGTCTAGCACTGCGCCCTTTCGCACCATTAGAGAAATGGTCACAGAAGACAATTTCGGGCTACTTTTAAAGTAAGACCTTTAAGCCATAACATCGAATCAGAGGTATGCAGGCTTATAAAGGCCCATTACAATACCATGCGATTAAAGAAGGAATTTTTAAATTCGCTGCTGTGGCAAAAGGTATCCAAGCGCAAAGACAGCGCCCACCGCTTTTCGCGTCCTAGAATTCAAAAGCCTGCTACATTGCGACCGATAGCACGAACATTGGCAACAAACGCATGGATCAAATATCGATGGGCGCTAGACTTTATCTGGTCGTATCCTGAAACTGATAAGCAGATTTATAGTGGTTTTGCTCTCTTTCGTATTTTTACATCGTCTTAGCTTACATTTCTACACTTGTATTCAATAAATTCATTCCATAACAGCTACAGATTGCTGAACAGCAACGAGAGTCACTTGAGCTTCTAAAATCGATTAATTAATATTGCTCTTATTCGATTTCAACCTTTAAATAACTTTAGCTTTAAGTACGGCATGTCTTTCAGCAATTGTTTAGGCAGCTGACATTCAGGTCTGGCATTATCCTATCACGGTAACGGTCATGATCCACTTATACATGTTTCCACCGAATTCCGCTAGCATATACAGCATTAAAGCATAGTCCGATAACACGACATTCAATACGTTTTTACAAAAACACATCAGCATTCACAGCATGTAATGAGAGGGGACAGTGTGATTTGGGTCTCTAATGCGCATCTTTTCAAGCAGACAATCAAACGTCTGCCCAGTCACGTTTTTTTTTTTTGTTATTACTCAGATAGCTAAAGTCCGACTAGACAACCAGTTAGCCGGTTATTTACCAAGAAGTCATCTCATACAAGTCAATCTTGGGGCTGTACATGCGTTTTGTGATTATCGTACCATCGATTTCGTTCCGGTCGCTACTTTGACCTTTTTGACGCGATTTGATCTTGACAAGGAATAATATATTTGGAGAGTGCTGCCCTCGTCGGTCCTATTGATTTTTATCAAGAAAATGCGCAGCGAAATAGAAGACGGTACCACGCAACGGCCTCCGCAAACGGCTTGCGGAGAACTTGCCTTATGAAAAGCGATTTAGTAATGAGCAGTTAGAATAAATTGAAGTTTTCTCCCATCGAATTGCTCAGTATGAAAGATCAATGAATTTATATTTTTCTGTAGAACTTCGTCTATTTCTGTCCAATTTCTTTAAAGTGCTCCGAATGGCAAAAAAAATGGAAGTTTGTTTCTTCATCGGAATGGGACATGAGATCCGCCATGAGCCCCGTAGACTTGCGTCGGACGCCTACTGCTCTAGACAATTCGACGATCTGATTTAGAAGCTTAATATACTTATTATATGCTACATTTGTAAAATAAGTATGTGAACCATATGTGCTCCATAATCCATTTAGAAAAGATCCCCCCCGTTGATGAAAATTTCCAGGTCTTGAGTTCCACATACGCTAAGCTATAGCCTAGATATTTATCTTTCCTTACTAAGGTATATTCATATAAATTTTTACGTAGGTTAAACAGGATTTTGTCAGATAACTGCATTTCTGTAACTGAACATTTATTTTTCCTGATCTATCGTAATTGCTCTACTCAGTAAACTATCATATAGTATATGAAAAAGTGCAGTGTAAATAAGTCGAGGAGCTCCCGCCCCAAGTGGTCGGTGTGCAATATTTGGGCAAAGAGTTCCTTCAAGGAAACGCATTGATGACGTCCACAGTTGCTTACGATTAATCAGCGACGCCTCCAGAGTAAGCGACGTTACAAACAAAGTACACAACAAAATGGAACGTTATCTCTGTCGTTTATAAAAAAAAAAAAAGAAACCCAAGAAGTCCTTTATTTAAGTAACTGAGTGCTCCGAGCAAGGTGTGTATGGAATATATAGTTAAATTCTTTACTTAACCAACTAATGAAGTGCGATGGCCTACCAACGCTGTCGATCTAGGTAAATTAGGTCCTCGACTCATATTGAATCGATTATAAAACAGTCATATATCTGAACCTCAACCTAGATTATAATAATAATAACAATCAGACGGTTTTGTCCACAGCCGCTGGCAGAGTCCATGTAGTACAGATCGTGCTACATCATGTCGTATAAACCGCATTAGAAACGCACTAGAAACCCTCGACGTAGTACTCTTTCGTTTTTAAACATGAAAATACGTGTCACAATGCTCTCTCGTCAGGCCAAGCCTACTTAGCAAATAGAATCAACATTTATTTTGCAATTATCAAATGAATCATCTCGTAGTAGAACCCTCAGTTAGAAATTGAAATCCTCCATTTTATTCTATGACGCTTACCTGGATCCTATTGAATCGTGCGAAAATGCTCAGTTCAATAGATCACCCAATGAATGGCGTTCAACAGAATTTTCAATACAGTTTTCAGACTTCACCAGTCAACATCGCCTGCTTTGTGCTTAGCTCATATTGTGGTTGTAGGTACATTCATTCTACCGTAGAAATGCGGAAACCCACAGAAGGTTGACTTGGTCCATTTACTTTCATCACTTGAAGGTCCCTCTTTGGCTCAGACCAAAATAAGGCCGACACAAAGTTACGTAAGGTCCAGAAAACACATAAGCTAGAAGGTGCTTTCAATTTGCTAGATATTTAACTCCCCACGGCTGGCTGCATCTTCTCATCATTTTGTAACGATGTTTTTCTATGACTCGATCACTTTCAACATTCTTTTTAACAATTTGCTTAAGTTCGTATAACAGATTGCCTAAATCGGTCGGTGTAAATATTGAATTATAGGGCTCTACTTGAAAAAACATATCAGAATAATAATAGCAACAGGAAGCTGGATACTATCCGTTCATCTTAACAAGGATTTACTTGCATCGTACATCTGATGTTCACAATTTAACTAATTAAGTTTATCCTTAAGAAACTGTGCCCTGTTGCTATCGTGGCTTTAAATATAGTGATTTAAAAAAAAAAAAAAAAAACGCAAATCCTTCCAGGTTTCGTTAGGGAGAGTTAGATGCAACACTTAATCTCGACTAATATACCCTTCTTTCTTTCTATTAGACTGTTAGTAAACGTAACGACTCCTCTCGAAAAGCTGGTAGACGCCGACCGATGCAGTCAGAGTAAAAATGGACGGAACTTACTAAAACGATTGGCTAAGACATCACTCGAAATTAAGAGGACTTTTCTTGACTACCGAACGACACAGGCGATCGTTACGGCGATTAAGGCCAAAGCAAAAAAGGTACACTTCTGCAACGATTTATATACTTTTCACTGGTTCTCCCTGTCTTGATAGATGTATTCAGCAATATACATTTTCAGTTTCATCATAGACTGCGAGACGCCGTAAAGCTCCTCCTACTACCGGCGTTCTCTATTTATTCTACGTATTACAATAAATTTCGTGCAACTTACATGTCTCTCCTTGAAAAGTGGGAAGGTTCGCACGTATTACAGTATAAACGTCAGCAGTAAGACCCAGCATGAAGTATAATCTTAAAGTAGTGGCTGATATTATATTTTGAAATCTTAGTTTAAGGGGTAATATCGTTAACCCATATAGCCTTTATATGTGTATTTTTTTAAACGCATCCCGTTATTCTAGGACCTGGAGGGTAGCGACCTTAGCGCTACGGAAGTGACCAGTTTGACTCTAAATCTCACCCTAATCAGAAACCTGCTCTACGTCCCGGACGCCTATCAATGCACCCAGTTCCGGGTAAATGAGGAAGCGTTCAAATCCTGGACTCACATAAAGAATAAATTGGCTTGGAATCTGTTCGTGCATGGCCTTGACGGGGTGCTTGTTATGATGATTAATAGTATTCATAAGGTAGGCTGGCACTGAGTGAACGCCATTCATTCACTCTAATAATCCGTCGTTTACGCATAATTGTATCAGGTGTATAAATGCAGTGTTGGTTGCGATGAGCAAAATGTTTCGATTTGATACTTTTACCACCTTTAACACGCCACCACCAATCCATACTATTACTATATAATAAATCAACCTTTAGGACCAGTGGGCATCAATCATCGTCCACATCCTCTCGCTATTGTTCAAAGATCAGAGCGTGATCTTACTTCAGAAACAATTAAGTGAATGCCAGTTTGCATTCGACCAGAGCACGTCCACGGAAAAGGACTCTCCGAAATCGAATTGGTCGTGTGGACACCACGCCTTAAATATATCATCAGGTAGTAACTTGGGTTAGTACCTATTTAATGCACAATGAAACAACACTTTTTTCACAGCAGGATACTACTTTTTAATAGCACCATTGATTGAGGCTAAATATGGGCCTGTGTGTACGTGGGCAGGCCTCTAGGTGTTCCTGCGTCCATACATAGTAACACATGAATAAGAACTGGTTGTAAAGAATTGTTCGATATGATATGAACTTTTGTATATCTAAATGGTAGTGGGATAAGGGTCTTAGGTAATCGGCACAAGTGCAGATCATTCTCGATCTATCTGAAGTCCATACAATTACATTATGTAATATACAGTAGCGCACATGTAGATTACAATGTCCGTCTGTCAGGGCAAAGGTATACTCAATTGTTTACCGAAAGCAAGCTCCACAAAAAGAAGGGCAAAGCACCTAGATAGCTGTTTGTGCCCCTATTTTTCTGTCCGTTAAATGTCTTCAAACAATAGTTCGGCAGAAATTCCTTGACCATTTTTAGCCGACCAATGACTCGGTCATGGTAACCGTTAAGTTATTTAATTATCTCGTATTTATTTTGCAGGTGGCTTCAGCTATATGTAGTCGATAACTAATATTCTGGGAATAGTAAATCATGTCATGTACTCATTAGTGTGAAACTGTGCCGCAGACACTCTATTTTTGGGAGAAATGCACATACAGACAACCTGTTCGGCCTTATTAAGAAAGATAGACGGCTTCAATGAAGTGCACTGAAAACACAAACACGAGATTGAACGATTTATAAATACATGCAGTTGTTTTTACAGTAACTCATTAACTTAACCCTTAGTATTATTATTGTGTAATTAATTACACTCCGACGTAATATCCTAATAAAATGTTAAAGACACCAACCGCACACTCACCGCTAACGGGCTTGTTATATTGTCGATTTTTAGAAGCAACGCCAGGCCAGCCTTTATTAGAGCTCCATATGACTAGGACAACTTTTCTTTGACAGTGACCAATACCTTTGGGCCTGCCCAGGCTCACTGCCTAGGCAATGCAGTTATAGGGTCAAAACGAGGCTTGTGCTAGGATGAAACTTTGTTTCGACATGAAACGATCATGTTACCCTCCTTCTTTTCTCGCATCTTATTAACTGTATGCGTAAGGATCCGTAAGGACCTGAAACAAGATTTAGGAAAAGGATACAACTTTCGTCCGTGCATTTCGAATCCCTTGTTACAGAAGCGTATGTGGTTGCGGATGACGTTCGACTGATGGCAGTCGGTAATACGAAGAGGAGCGGAGCTCAGAACTTCGGTCAGGGGCTAACTCCAGTCGAAGTGGAACAGGCCAAAAACAGTCGGGAACGAAAATCAGATAGTGCTGCGAGTAGAGAAAATGGCTCATCAACTTCATCTGGGATATTATCAGCAGGAAACCAAGATGACTCCGAATTCTTCCGAAACGATTTTAAGTAAACATAGCTCGTTTAGGTTTCAATATAAGGAAGACTAAATGATCCACTGACATTGCTTGAATATGATGCGTGACGTTCAATGCAGCTTCATAAATGATTTGGTGCCTAACAAATTAGATAACTGGAATAATGAATATAAGCGGCGCTACAAATTTATCCAACTCTTGAAATTTAAGTATGAGCGCAAAGCTTTTAATAATCTTACACTGGACACTCATACTATTGTTAGAGTCACCTTTATATGGTATCAACATTTATTTATTAGCAGTTTTTGCCAATCAAGCAATTCCTGCACGCGGTATGTCCATATGCATGTGCCATATCTACAGGCTGTGTCATAGGAAAAACAATTTGTTTTAGTTCATATCATTTCTTACAGTCACGCCAGTAATATCTGTTGTAGCAATGAGATCCGATTCTGCTCACTACACAGTGTTCCTTATTGCTACATTATGTCAGCATGTAAAAATATCGTAACTTACATATCTATCATCTTAGAGGTTATATCGCTAAATTGCCGATCAATATCTCAGATCGTACAACTCATTAAGTCTCGATTCCAGTGGCTCAAATCGATCTTTATCCGAATCGGCCAAAGCGTCACCTAACGGTGAAAATGAATTGCTTCAAAAGCCTGAGGTCACTCAGGTCATGGCTAGTTCGTATCCTTCTTCCCGGAAAGATACGAATCGTGGCACAATGGTAAAACAAAGCTCACCCAATTCATCATCTGAGAGCGCAATGTCATACTCATCTAATGAGCAATCTTCCTCGTCTGGTTCAGACGATGGTGAGTAATTAACAGTATGCAAATTTCGTACACTACTTATTTATTTCTGCCATCAATCATTCTTACATGGCAATCGGTTACAAATATAAGGTTTCACCATTACTACACTCACTGAAATCTTCTACGATTCCTTTCCGTACCAAAATGCGTTCCCCATCTCCCAGATGCTGGCGCGCACTCGAAGGAACACATTAAACACCCACACCATAAGGCCTCATCGAAGCACAGGGCCATGCATTCTGCTAATAGGCCCTCGAATTCAGATTCGTCCATGGAACAGAATGTGCACAGTCGCTCTCTTAAACAAAGAACCCATGTGTCCCGAAAGCAGACTGGTGCCACATTCATGGCAAGTGGACAATCTCATGCACACAAATTTCCTTGCACACCAAGCGTTTGCTTTGAAGCATCGCTCGCAGCTGTTCGAGGTGGAGGCCCAACTCGCAAACTATGGGAGCATCGCGGAGCGAGCAGCTTGACGTTGCGTGATTCAGCTTCAGACGCGCCTAGCGAAGAGGAAATAACCCACATGTTGGCCCTGTTCACGGTTACGTTCCTGCACAGTGCATTCTCTCCACTCGTCCTGTCGCTCAGGGTACTTATTAGCTTAGTTTGATCAATAATAATAATAGCAGTCATAATGAGCTCTTCACTTCATAATATTAAAGTAGTAGCTTATGTCTGAATATTTTTACCTTTTTCAGATATTCGTTTGCGCCCTATTAACGAAATAATCTTCTGTGTCGTTATTTAAACTTATTTACTTCGGCATTTTCGCATAATTTTATCTATCGCCTCATCGGGTCATTATGCAGAAAATGCATGATATAGACAAAAAAAAATGTTCTCCACAGACCAGGTGAAGCCTTTATGAGGAAAGGCCCTGCCTTTTAGAAACGACATAATCTTGTTGACTAGCTTGTTTTGTTGTATATTTGTGGTAATATTGCGAGCTAGCATAGGGGGTTTGGACCTGATTAGCATATGAACGACAAAAATAATCGTTCTATAGTTAAATTTAAGAATGACGATTCAGGTAAATAAGGACGAACCTTCGTTAGGGTGTCTTCAGATAGGTGAAGTTTTGCTGTTTGAATCTGCGATTATGCTTGCCTTATTCTAGCAAATACGTACGTAGCAAAATAGATACAATCTAGTTAGCGCTCAGGTGAGGCTTCAGATCATCAATAGCTAAGGCAGATGATATAATAAGAACAGCTTTTACACCCAGTCCTACAGCCAAGCACAGTAAATCTTAATCGATATTGTTTGTATATCTCTGTTTAACTAACACGTGCGCGTAGCAAGTATACCTGAGCTGTAAGGACGATGCAGGTTACGTCTTCCATATGAGTTGGCTTATTGCCTACTTTATGCGGCTTGCCGCAGCTATGGAACTACAGATACAACATACTCGGGCCGTTCTCTCCGTCGATCTCATTGGTTTATTGGTGTTCGAAGCGACGAATTCGCTTCAAAGTATCAACATCGAAGAGTCAGGTGTTAAACAGTGGTCACTTCGGCGCAAGTAAGTTTCGTTCATTAACAGAAAAAGTAATTATTATATTCATTGACTTTTTGTCAAAAGTTCTTAAAACATGTGCCAGCGAGGTTTGCCGCGTAAAACGCTAGTAGCGACGTGAATCGGGCGTTTAGCTGCGATCTCAAACGCAGTAGGGTATAGCGCGGAGAAGAGTAACCCCCCTAACGTAGCGACCTTTCTGGCAGCATTAAACAGACGAACATCGTTGTTTAAATTAAGCAATTACATTATCCGACCTTTTTTGCCTCGTCAGGAACGAATACTCGCTCTGCAACATAGTAGTAATAATAATAAGAAGAAGAAGAAGAAGATTTAAAACGGTTTTGAAGGACTTCTTCTTCTCTAGGCTCTTCGACACGTCAAGTGACCCGTTTCTGTGGGTCCATATAGCTACTAATATACAGCCAATATATCGTTTAGTTAAAAGCGGTTGTCCCAATTTTACGTTGTACTGTAGGTGCGCTCTTTTAGGAGGATCGCCATTTTTTTCATGCAGAACAGCCTCTACTTTTGACAAATTTCGGCAATTCACTAAGTCGACCAGTCACCCAAAAATATGTTTTCCTTTCGTTTAGCCATTATTATATTAAAACGTTTACACTTTTACGTGCCCACTTACAGTTATCAATATCTGGTGAAAGCTCTTCGTGAGCTCATGATCTCCGCTGTGCATTTTTGCTATAACAACGACATTCTGCATATAGTAGGTGAGTTCCAGGTCAGGATGAATTCGGTCGTTTTGGGCCTCGAAGGTCGAGGGAAAACTGCGTTTGTAATAAAGTACTGCATTACTTTATATGATAAGCTTAGAAACGTTTTATTTACCTAATTGCGCATATTGTACAGTGTATATGCTGATGACAGGATTACACAACGCGAAGTTATGCTTGGCTTTGATAATACATTTTGGGTATGAGCCCGAATGTCCAACGCTCATGGATTCAGCCAGCGTTCAACTAACGAACTATCATAAAGCTATTCGGGAGCTAAACTCGGTTTTGCTATTATTATTAGTGCTGCAGACGCTTCCGTGTCTCCCGTACTATTATATATGGGCCATATGTTGGCTAAAGAGATAAGGGCATTGAAAAAATAGAAAGAAACTAATTGAATTTTTGGCAAGTATCCAATCCATAGCGGTCGATCTAGATAGTAGCTCTAAGTTAATCGTGTCCCATTCTGCTTTCTTGCCACGTAAATAATGCGCCAAGTTTTAATGAAGGTACTTAATTTCCGGTAAATTTATTATTAATTATGATTTTTCCAGTACCCCTCACGCAGATGGAATACCTTCGCCATGCTCTTGTTTATTTTATTCGAAAACCTGTTGAGCCCCAACTAGCGATCCTCTCGGATGCTATAGTTGCCAATCACAAACTGATGCTGCTTATGGAGTGGGTGAACAGGGGTCAAGGAGCAAAGCTGGACATACGACAACATTTTCAGCTGTAAGATTATCCCTATCTTACCACTCAGATCATCCTCGTGATGCTTTATCTAGTTTTTTTTATTGTTACTTTATGTAGTTTTTCATTGTTTAGGATCATTTATAGAATAAGGGTATATCCATATGATTAACTTTGAGGCACTGGTCAAAACATTGATGTTCTTACTTATTTTAGCTCATAGACTTCGTTCGTTGTCGGAATATCGTCCAGTTAAAATGGTTGAGGATACTGACATCTATGTATGTGAGATAGAAACAAATGCAGAATAAGTTTTCGATCAGCCTGTACTATCCGAGGACAGAATGTATATTTTGCAATATTTACAACTTGCGACATTTCCCACCTCATTCATTCATTCATTCATATAAATAAAAATCAAACTATATAGAAAAATCAATGCCTTTGTACGATGGGTAGCTGTTTACTTGAATAGCGTGACGAAATTTATCAACTTATATGTCTTTGCAGATTTTCAGCTCGAGACGTAATGGATAAGTACGGTGACCTACTAACGAATTTTCGAGATAATTGGTACGTTAAATTAGATTCAGTATAGTTTATAGGCTTATTCGTTATAATAAATTACTATTGCACTGTGGTTCTATTGACACAGGATCTGAATATAAATATTCCTTATGCGGTGTTAGAGTATTTTTAATTGGGTAAACCTACGCAACATGGTGTTCTACCAGTGTACACCATATGCAGCACGTAAGTTTGTGTTGAAATTGAAGGTCTTTAAACTGTCCATCTACTCGTGTTTATATGCAGCATAATAAACGGTAGGCAAAGAAATGTGGGTGTTCCAATAGGAGAAGGAGCGCATGCCGTAATCACTAATGGGGGCAAAGTCTTACCTAATTATATTCTATTCTCTAGGTATACTTATACAGAAAAGGTACCTTGCCTGTTATACCTCTAGTAAGATCTAACAATACATTTCTGATCATCTGAATGGACATTTAAAACCAGCGCGTACGTGAACCATTGTATCCTGACGATGATGGAGCACGTGGCTGTTGATCTTGGACATTTAGAGACAATTCTCACTCCAAAGATACTGTGCTGTTTCATCGAACTCCTTAATGAGCCGCACATACAACTATCAGAGGTAAGCGGCACCGGTTGTTAAGGTGCCGTATATCTCATACGAGACCCTATCTCCTTTGTCAGCCGCCTATAAATCGAAATTTCTCCTTATCGCTTCAGTAATTGCTAACGAAATGTCCTTAATCCTAAAAATATCTAAATTTTAACATAACAACATACCTAGCCTTTAGGTAAGAAAGAACATTTTTCAGTTTTTTGTATTAACGTCATTTTAATTCTCTTTATCAATTTTAATCCGCAGAGCTACCGCGACTTTATGAACGCAATGATCAATGGATATTTAAAGCTTAGTAGGAGCTCGCGTTCAACCGGAAAGTGTTCTGGTCAATTTCGGTCATCTCGGGAGCAGAACACCGTTGGTCTTGTAACAGAGGACTCTTTGAGGAATCTAACATCTCGGCACACTGGAATTCGGGTTCCGACAGTGGTTCCCCTCGTGGCCATCGCAACAGCATCAACGTTCCTCACAGATCAACAGCTGGTGTGGTCGGTCGCTTGCAACTCAAAGGTGAGACAAGGCAAATCTACGACCATGACGTTCAATGTCGTCTGAGTAGGGTCGTGATCCGATTAGTCACATGGTTCATTATTTCCGACAAAAAGGTAACCGTTACGAGCGTGATGAAATTCTTGAGAAGCTTGTACATTTGCGGATGGGGTGCGCGGATGCGTACGTTTCTGAAGAAGCCGCAGCGGAATATTCGTGGATGTCGCAGAGCGCCGATAAACACGACCAGCCCATAGATATGGAGAACGGCAGCGCCCCAGCGGGGAGCAGCTCATTGTCAGACAGCCAGGCATAGGATAGTCTAGGCCAGAAAGAGAGTGATGTTGCACTAATACTCAGTCGACTTCGTCACGAAGGATTGGATGCGCAAATTCTATGGCTACAAAAGCAACTGCTTGAAGATACACTCATGTAAAATTTAGTATTTTTTGTGGGTTTGGTTTTTACTGTGAACAAGAATATTCAAAAAAGGTATAAAAATGGGTATCAGAGATTTTTTAGCGTGTAACTTTTCTGGAGAGCAGGTCAAAGTGGACGCCTTTCGCAATTTTTGGCACTTGAAGTGCATCTGGACGCATTTATAACGCTGAACGACGGTTCTTTGAATTTCGCCTTTTTAGTGAACTAATTTATATATATATATATATATATATATATATATATATATATATATATATATATGCTACTATTTAAGCTTCAAGGTGTGCTTGCTGAGACGTTCATAATGATCGATCGATAAAGTTGTTTCATTTTAACTCTTTCTTACCAGTTTATCACTATAAACGTTTGGCAATGCCTCCTGTTTGGGAGCCCATCTCGCTATACAGCTTCCTGCTGGAACGCAACATGTCTATCATCGACATCACGGTGCGGCGGTTCAGCGTGCCGACTTCCTCGAGCTAACCATCCTTCTCAGTCTTCAAGTTTGTCCACACCCTCAGCGATAGCGAATCACCATACCCCGGGAACTATCTGTGAAACAACTCGTTGAGAACGAAAGCACAAAATCGTCTTCCTCAACGGGTCTGTAATACCTAACCTTGCCACCCTTTCGTATTATTTCTACACACGGAATAGGTAGCAAAGTCCCAACTAATATCGATAGCCCCAGATTTCATAGAAGGTCTATTCAGTCCATTGTTGTTACGTTCTCTAACGTATTTCGAAATCGCTGCGCTTACAAGTCGACTTTCTGCATCTCTACATCGTTTCGATACGGTACTGACAGCTTTTCTGGCTGACTCTGATGGCGCGAATGTCTGCCTGATTCGTTAACGTGTGATTAACTATTATTTATACTAGATGCCTCCTAAGTGAAGCCGCAAATAAATGTTTTCTAATACGTAAAAGACGCTGAAGTTTCTTCTTCTTCTTCTTCTTCTTCTTCGCTGCATATTTGAGTGCCTCTTCCGTTTTGATTAATGAAAATTTACTTCCGAATGGCTTATATTGTATTAGGAAAATTTGGAGTAATTGCATTCAAGTTGCAACATACTAATAGACTTCATTTAAGAAACACCTCGCGTTTATAAACGTTGAAATGGCAACATATTCAGCCGGGTAGAATCAAACTACTTCAGAATAATTCTCAAGAGAGTAACAGATTTTCTTTTTTCACATCAATTTTTTTATGTTTGTTGAGCTAGACTTAAGCCATATGGTAGCGTCTAACGTATGCTTAAGTCAAATGTACCTGTTATTGACTTCTGTTGTGATCGGCCAAAGTTGGCCGTAGACCTATTTCATATCGGTTAGGGCCATCGTTTAAGAGACCTACGTATAACCGGATGAATAAAACTATGCCACTGATAACAAGTGTGTTGGTTTTCCTGTGTTGCTTGTGTGTATATCATTGTTTTTGTCTGTACCTCTCTTCCAGTGAGGCGATCCATCACCGTGAATGATTTGGTGGGATCTTCTGTGACAATTCGTCACTCCGACTAAGCTATCGTAGGTAATTTCACAGTGTACCGAAAAAGCGAAAAATTCTTGCTTCGTCTACTGAAGACGATTACTGCATCCTTGAAATTGCGTCGACGGGAAGAATTGCCTCGAAGTCGTATACGCCATCGCCGCATCTTAGTGTATGAGGAACGCGAAACCCGATCAGCTGGTACATCTTCAAATATATAACACTAATAGTAAGCATAACAAATTTAGTAAGTAATTTAGACGACACATTGGAGCCTTTGAGGAGGCAAAACAGTCAACTCTTGAACAGAGGAGCTTCATTGTACTATGATGTTATATTAAAATCAGAACAAAATTAATATTTCACGTCTGGACAAAACACAGGAGGGGGTTTACGGTTGAGGAAAAGCTGGTTGACAATCTGCAAAATAAATATTAATCATTACACTATCTATGAGACCAGCGGCTACACAATATAGCCTTCTTACTTCTAGTTAAAATGAAGAACCACTGCTTTCTGATATCTAGACTTCGGAACGGGCTTCTCCGAAAAAAGAGAGATTCCAATCGTAATAGGTCAATCTGTACTACTACTACTGCTACTACTACTACTACTACTACTACTACTACTACTACTGCTACTACTACTACTACTACTACTACTACACAATAAAAGATGAAATGTTATTTGGTTAATTGATACCGTTCAGAAAACATGCTCAGTATAACAATGATTGAATGTATGTTCACTTCAAAGGTCCAGAAGAAAGAAATGCTACTATCTTATTGTTCATTGTGTCGATCGGGTACTTTATTGATGAAGTCAGAAACGTGTTAGCAAAGCAGGTCTAGCATTGTTGAACCTACCTAGCAAGATCCGAATCAAAACATTGATTAGGATAGCTACATTCAAGTAGAGAGATGATACAAAAATGCATACGTCACGAAGCAAATATATATATATTAGAAGTGCTGTGTTCCGATATCATATCAGAGGACTCTGATCGTTTTGACCTTTATGTCGAGAAAAATAACTAGTTTCGAATTAGGTGTTTTACCGCACGAACAAACCTAATCTAGTATGCGATCCCACCCAAGTGGTAATATGCCCAACACTTTTAATTTTTTTGCAACGGCTATTGACCGTATGTGATGCGTAAGAGGTACGAACATTTTAATATCCGAATTTTATAAAATGGTAATAGTTAACAACTCAGCTGCTGCTCTGTGATGCAAAACACTGTTTTACTTATATCACTGCTTGTACAATTCTTCTGTTTTCAAAAAAAAACGATAGTTAGTTTACGTACTAATCTCAGACGAGTACGTCGTTCATCCTACCCACATGCCTTACTTCTCGTACTGCAGCGATAACTCATCCACTGACCCCCTCCTTCAAAGTAATTCAAAACTGGCATACAAGGTCAGACCTCCTGCAATGAATCCATATGGGTTCATAAGATCCAACGGCCCCTCTTATGCGGCCGCATTCTTTCATGCGGTATTTACGGTTCGTCGAAGCTTCAAATGGGACAGTTTTGCGGGCGGACGCTTGTAGTATATCGCCGTCGCAGGTAATTAAAAAAAGTTCTCGCTTGTGATCAGGCCATTATTAGAGATCACCGTTCCTTAAGCGCTCACCTTTGAATATCTCTGGGTATGAGAGTTTTTGGACGGTTCTGCCCGGTACTAAAATTTTGAGTTTACGCTTGACTAGTGCATTCGAATAGGCTGGAAACAAGAAATAAGTTTTGCGAAAAGAAGTCAGAAAAGTTACGATGTAACTAACTTACGTAAGATTCTTACAAAGTCTCGTGGTTTTACAGCCGTATGCCTGTACTATTTGTTTCTCTAGTACATATAATTGTCCACAGTAAATTATAATCTATGATCATAATCATTCGCAATGGGGTACAGTCCGATTTCGTTCAAACAATGCGTTACGTTGGTAAAGTAAAAAACAACTGCATATGATACGAATGACGTATGGTACAACGGGTAAGAAGCTACGATGCCTTACTTTAAATTGATATGTATACATATTACATATACATAACCTGGGTTATACTCTAAACCCAATTAGTTGTTTTAACTTCTTTGTCAGATTAGATCGGTACCAACATGCTCAAAACGCAATGGCCTATATCACCTCCAGGGTGATCGTGTAATATAATTAAATGTAATGACTTTTATAGGACATAATTTGCTTTCCAAAGTGTAGCGGAATAAACTTCAGTTTAATAAGAAAAACAAGGTAGGTACTTTGCTTCTTTATTGTTCGGAAATGGATTCGAAGGTAAAGGTTCGATGAAATGCAAAGAAGTACTTAGCTGTCCCATATAATATCACCCTTTAAAGTCGTTGATCGGAAGACGAAATCCATAACAGCCAGACGTAAAAAAACTTTTATGTGCATCTCACAAAGTCTGAAAATTTAATAGAATCTGAATGATAGATCATCTCACTTTGGGGTATATAGCCTCACCTTCTCTTGCATAGAAAGTGAGTTTCATTAAAATTAGAAAAATATATATATATATAGTTCTTAAGAAATTGGGCTTGCGATATAGAGCAAAACGGCCAACCTATCAATATGGACAATATACGAGTTGTGGGATCATTACATAACCCTCTTACTGGTACAATTCATTGAAAAGCAAACCTGCCTTGGAAGAGCCTAGAAAATTTCATTTTGCATGCGCCTATTCAGGTAAATTGTCATGTAAAACTAGCGACGCTGCAACATGATTGGAGGATATAGTAATCGCAATGATAGCAAAAACATATGTAAACATGCATCTACAACCGCATAAAGACAGGGTCTTGGCAATAAGTAATAAAAAATATCATTTCGGTCGACGGCAATCTGTCCATAGACGAGAACCAATTCTAAATAGATCATCGCATCCCTGCCACTAGTAGCAGTTACTCTGAACCAATACGCAGGATGAACTTGGTTGTAGGATCGATGTGAGGTGCAATTTCCGAATGATCAGGCCTGAACTCTAGTGCCCTTTCACCTATACCCTTTTACGGCAAGCAAATGTTTAATTTCTAGTCGCAGTGGTAGGCGCTTGATGTTTGAAAATAAGCATAACTTAAATCGTACAAAACAATCGATGGACAACTTACAATGTTGTTTTATAGTATACGACATAAAGCGATACCTAAATTACTCGATTCCTGAATCAATAAAATTACGGATACGATAAAGTTCAGTTTAATTACCAGACAATTATCAAGAATAATATTGTCGTATATAGACATGTGTTTTTGCTTAAAAATCACAAGCAAACTATCTGTCTAAAATTTAATTGCCTATTTTTTTTCATATTATCATAATATTTTACGCAGATATTATGTGATTGTTTGAATGTAAACTATTTACTTCGCATTTAGTAACGTTAATTATCAAGTTAGTATCTCAAAGAACTTGATTTCATCGAGCCGTTCCTGAGGTTTCTCCTGTTTATAATTTGGCGCGTAAACGAAATTCTTGCTACCAAAAATAGAGCTATGTTATGAGAACCGATTACGGGTTGTTGCTTGAAAACTACATTCGTACCATAACCACTAATACCAATTAACCTATTAGTTACCGCTACGCATTTACTCATCAACTTGATAACTTACAACGTCTTACAGTGAAAAAATTTCAACTTACCTCTGAAAGAGTGCTTTCCTTAATTGTGTTCGATTTACGGGCGGAGGCTAGCCGTTATTGGATGCGAGAAACCTTCGACATTAAGTAATCGCGATGTTTATATTCTTCATTGTTTGAATCATTTGTTATTTGCTAACGTCTAGGTGTTTATGTCTTTGAGACGCTACGAAGCCGTTGTCGGCGTTTTGTTTGCCACACAAAGTTTCACTTATATGTCGGGCTACAGACATGGCAAAAACGAACACGACCAACGAAGCTAATTACTTAAGTTAATGTATAAGTTGATATATCATACTAGATAATTTTGCGCGGCCACTGTATCTTAAATTCGTAATAATATAAATGATAAATATACCTTATTTAGTATTTTTTTTCGTACAGTTAATGCTGAAGGGTTCTTGAAGCCGATTAGAGATCCTTTGAATTTTAGTACCTCTTGCAAATTGAGTATTTCGTGTGTACAGAAACCGTGTAGGTTTTGGCTATGAAATAAAGTTATCTCATAGTGACCTCTATAGTTACCTTATGGGAATGGCACTGTTCGTTGTAGAATATGAGGAAGATTTGACAATATTGATAAACGCAAGCTGAAGATTTTTTCGGATACTTTTCAAGAACGATCCGATTCTTATCGGATCGGTTAATGTTTAGACGTAAATGTCTTGAAGTACATGAAATTCTCATTTGGTTTATATCATCCCTGAAGAAAGAAATGTGGTTTTGCGGTCTGTCTCATAGACACGACCGTATCCGATTTTTAACTTACTAGTTCAATCAGTGAGACAAAACAAGCAGGGTCAAATTGCGACAGGTAAATCTAATGATTCTAAATATTCTCTCTGTCTTCTTTTTAGCAATAACCACTCATGATCTCACTAGGTATTGCAGACAACACTAGTAATAAATATAAAATTTTTCAAATAAATCCTTGTGCGTACTAATAATCATCGATTGGGTTTACATAGCCTTCCTTTGGTAACAACAAATAGGACTATGTTAACCACCTTGAGGGTACTCTATTTGATTTTTTTCTATACGTGAGTGTGTAAATCAAATTTATTTAATGTTGACGATTTGATATTTAGAGCTAACATTAGTGGTACCCCTTTTTTATAAACAGAAATTCCAGCTTTTCAATTACGTAAACCAATCAGCTTTACCTCTTCTGTCACTAATTGTCAATTCCGGTGCCAGGATCAAATGAGTGCAATCACACGATTCATATTGTGACGAACCTTACCACACATGTCCGCATACACTGAATTTTAATGGCTATCAATACATAGGGTTCGCGTACATGACTGCTTTTACACATTGTCCGACACCATGTCACTTCTTACAGTTTCCCTATCTCTAGCAGGTTAACACGGTCTGAATCTGAGTTATGTCCGATACAATCGACGCCTGGTGTAATGAATTGAAATCTGCGGGCTCGTACCAAAACGGGCGCTTAGTAAGCAATGCTAACAAGTAATGATAATTTCCGTTTCATGCCAGAAAAATTCCTAAACGGCTAGAGACGCACACGCTGTTTTTCGTCCCGCATAATATTTTGTGTCACCAGACAGGACATAAATAAGCTAATAAATATTCTAATATTATATATTATATTATTATGCATATTAATATAAGCTAATAAATATAAAAAAAATTAAAAAAATAAATATTCTAGATCTCCCGGTTATATCATCGAAGATTTTACAACCGGGAGATCTAGAATTTTGTCGATTATTCGTAAGAAAATTGGCGTTAACCCTCAGCTCGACAAATTCCTAATGGCTGAGAACAGTTACTTTTCGGGTTTCAAGTAGAAATGTGCGCTTATCGACCTCTGCAAGGCGGACGAACACGTCCTAAATCTAGGACTAGTT